TTCAATATATCAACCAATTCACGGACGAAATCATAATGATAGTCATTCAATGATAATGTTATTAAGCTTATCAGACAATATGAAAGTAACTTACTTAAAATAAATATACAAAACTTGTCTATATTATTTAATGACACATACATCAATGAAAATTGCTGCCTAAATATTGTTATATATATATATATATATATATATATATATATATATATATGTATGTATGTATATTCATATATATAGTGTTATATATATATATATATATTGTCATATATATATATATATATATATATATATATATTGTCATATATATATATATATATATATATATATATATATATATATATATATATATATATATATTCGAAATAGATAAAGTTTCATTTTCCATATGACAAATGTTTGGGAAAGAATTTATATGCTATTTGAAAGACAAACACACAAACTCCATTACGCATATATAAATCCTAATGAGCCACGTCCTATCTACCTCGATTTCATCACATTCCAGTCGAATTCATTACATTTACTTCCGTGCTAATACTCTTGGGAAAGGTATGAATCCTCCTCTTCTCCGCTCTAATTATGGGTAAATAGCAGGGCAGACCGGATTCTTTGAAAGCGAACTTGTCTACCGCAGAAACAAATGGCAATCTACTGGAGGAAAAAGTCTGCCTCGTCAGTCATGTATCGAAAGATACATGATCGCCTGTCTAACGCATGGCACTTAACTGATTGAAACTTTTTAGTAGTAGAATAGATACTATTATTACGTAGCAAACAACTGCGAATAGTGTCAGAATAATGCTGTTATTAACATATTTAGTTTGAACGCTTTTAGATGATAAAATACAGTAATACCTTTTGGATGCCTACAGTAGAGCAAAGATAAGCCAAACATTCTTCTTCGTTTATCTTTTTTTCCTTCTTTTTCTTTTCGCTGTGTTTTTTTTTTTTTTTTTTTCGTTTTATTATTTTCCTTCCTTATTTTTTCTCAAGTGTTTGCTCATCGAATTATTTCCCCTTTTCGGACTCCTTTATTTAATTCTCCTTCCACCATTTTTCCGTCTTTGCTCTTTTCTCGTTTTCTGTTCTCTCCTTCGCCTTCTCCTCTATCATATTCATTCCTCTTTCTTATACACCCACACCCTCTTCCACAGCTTTGTTCTCTTTTTCACACTTCTCCTCCTCATCGTCCAACAACTCTTTCCTGCATATTCCTCTGTTTTACTCTCCTACTTCTTCTTCCTCCTCTATTTTCCTGTTCCCTCCTCTGCCCTTTCCTCTCCACCTCTTTCATTAATATTCCTCTTTTTATTCTCCCACTCCTTGTTACATGCCTAAGCTCACTTCTATTTTTCATTCTTTTCCTCCTCCCCCTGCTCCTCCACTCTTCACCTACTCCTCCTCTTTCTCTTCCAATCCTCTTCCTCCATCTCTTTCATAACAAGATTCATATATGATTGCAATTAATTCGGGTAAATAAGTACATGTTATAGGGACACAACAATTGTGGCAGTTTAGTGTATTTCAAATTCCAGAGAATAATATTCTCCTTCTCTTCTATGACGTGACTCAAACCCTCCACAACCTCCTCTCCTATGTAGCTCTTAGTAAGTTTTATCTTTGTGCCATCTCTCCTAATCTTCGTTATCTCAAATATTTACGCATGCTCGTTAAGCAGGTATGCGCTGCTCTTGTCTATTCATCTTGTCTTTATCATGTTTTGTGTGTGTCAGTTTTTACGAAACTATTTTCCTCATTTTGTGCCGCAGAGATTTCAACTGACTCTTAGTAATAAGTATAAGCGTGTGTTTGGTTTTCATTCTCTTGAAAACATCCTCGTTAATCAGATATTCAGTCAATTGCATTCACAGTATCCTTCTATAGAAACGCGTTTCTTGTTGCCTCAAGACGCTTCTTTGTCTTCGTGGAGATTGGCTAGCAATCACTGATATATATGAATGCCGATATTGCATAACCGTTGAGTATTCTCTCTATTTCTCAAGCAATTTTCCTGTTTCTTAGCTTCTGGAAGGCTTCTTTCGCTGTTTCATTTCGACTTCTTATTTTGGTGGCATATCTTAAGTTCTCGTACTTTTTTAATCGCTATCACCCCATGCAAGGTATTAAAGCCACTAATACACAACGGGTTACAGGGTGTGGAAGAATTAGAAACAGAAACATTAATAAAGAGCGGGGAGAGGAAAAAATAATCAGGAGAACAGTAGATAGTGATTGACATTGCATTTAAATATTTTCTACTTAAAGTTGGCTGAAAAGCATGGAGACATAAAGGAGTTCCACAGGCCTTGAGTGCGAGAAAAGAATTTTTTAGCATAGACCTTAGGACAACATCTTGCCAGCTCAACTGTAAAGTGATGAGATCTCGATGTCAGTCTAGTACAGCGCTTAATTTCAAAGTCTCAGTAACATAGCGAAGGATGAAAGTATTTATAGAAAAGTCACAGATAGGCAAAGGCAACCTTACTATGGTACTTTGGCGTCTCCAAATTGTAATTCACATATTGGGCTGTTCTTTGCGCTGGTGACCATACACACTGTTTTCTTACTCTTGATGTTTAGTCCTTTTGTCACGCTTTACTACTTTCTCTACGAGTATCTGCAATATCCTTTCTGTGACTGTTATCAACACAGTCTCATCTGTATATTTTATGTCCTTAAGATTATGACCACCACTCACAAATCCAGTTAGGATTTCTTATTCGCTGAAATTTCTTATTTTCTGTAAAGGCTGCATACGTCTGATGAAAAGATACATCCTTGTCTTACACCCGTTTCTCTTTTTGTGTATTTACTAAATTCATTTTCAATTCTCATGCAAGCGGTTTGCACGCAGTATAAATTCTGAATTTTTCTAACATATAATAAGAAATAAATCAAGTTTACTTAGCAGTTCAAATAGTTATTTGTGTCGGGCTCTATCAAATACTTTCTGGATGTTATATAACAAATATATAAACATCAAAAACTAATTAAACTTAAACCTAATATTCACTCCTGCTTTTACGAGCTCAACTGTTCTTTAAAATTATATCTGGAATTTAAGATACGTCAGATTACTAAATTTTCTTTTTTTTTTTACTATATGTGAAATCATTAGAGAAAATTAAAATGTCATATTGATGAACTTTGTCGAGAAAAGATTACGATTAATCGAACGTGCTCTTCTTTAATTCTTCAGGACGTAGGGGATCATAGCTCTCCACACATCCATATTCTTTATTATCTGTGAATTGCTATGACGTCTTGGCGAAGAGAGTAATGTACTTTCTCGCAACCTTTAATGGTTGCGCTATGGAAGAAATTAATATTCTTTCAAATTTATTTCCCCCATTATGGGCATTATCATATCCATGATGTAATAATACCTTATTTCACGGACGGAACTGGCAGCTGAATGAAAAGGGATGACAAAAATGCTTCCTTCCCAGAGACAGTTTTATACTGCTAAGTCATACACAAGATTATATACATCTATTTACATGTGTCTCACACTTAGAAACTATAAAACATGTATACAACAGCAAGCAGTGTAAAAAGAGATAGACTTTTACTTGTAATATTTCCCGAAGTGACAACTGGAGGTACAGCGGATTCTCTATGAATCTGGTGAGGCCCTGGTGTTTTCACTGTATGACCTATAGCTGTTGCCTTGGGACGTCCTTGTTCTCCGGGCTTTACATCGCAACTGGTCTTCGTCACTCTATCCCATGACGTCAGTCACTGAACATCACATGACCCACTTGACATTATCTCGACGAAAGGGACATAATCGCTTTTTGTGTCCCTATACTTTGTTCACTTTTTTTCGTTTAATTCAGAGATGTCCTTCTTGATTGGCTGTCACACTAGTCTAGAATGTCCAGTTTCTGCAGGTATTTGATATATTTGACTTCGGGGAGAAGAAATCGATTCATGCTTTTCCAAAAGTTATATGTGTGAAAGTGAATGCAACAAACTAAGCGTGAATTGTAACTCGAATCGCCAATCTCACTTTCCCCGCTCACCCCTTCCGACCTGAATTCTACCCTAACATCCTTAATTCAGTTTTATTCAAATGAATAGTATTCATGTCTGTTAGTGACTCAACGTTACGTATAGAACACAGAGGAATAGTTAGTAAGTTTGTTTGATGTTCTTATTCGTTTTGACTTTTAAAATCACAATGGATTCTTTAATAATACTGCCAAGTAACATGGTAACCTTTACTTGGTAAATAGCTGCAGATGGCGCCTCTCGTGGGAGAAATTGGCACTAAATTTGTCTTTAAGTCATTCGTTAGCATAGTGATTTCAATATTAATTGGGTGCTTCTCAATGGTCTCCTTTCTTTCCCAGGAGAGAATTTATTCTTAATTTAATCCGGTCAACGTATCTGTGACGAAGGCAAGTCTTCAAATTGGAGGACGCTTGAACGAATACCTAACCGGCTTTTAATCTAGATATTTTGAAGGAACTGCTTAAGGCTCAGCTACGCAGTGACCCTAGAACCATACTCGGTCTTGGGTTGGGGTGGGGTGGCGGGCATGATGATGTACATTGCTAACCAGATTCATTGCTAACCTGGATATTTTAAATTTTTCACTGTATCATTTGTATTTTTACTCGAATTGCCATTACAAATTAATATAGAAGATTGCTTTATTTGGCTAAATAATCTTGTGACACTTTAAAGCGGTAAAGAGATAGCTCGATAGATATACCAAAAGAGATTTGACATGTTAATGGTTGAAGAGATAGCTCGGTAGCTATACCGAAAGAGATGTGACAAGTTATGGGTTGTAGAGATGGCTCGATAGCTATACCAAAAGAGATGTGATACGTTAATTGTTGAAAAGATAGCTCAATAGCTATAAGGAAACAGATGTGACACGTATATGGTTGAAGAGATAGCTCGATAGCTATACCGAAAGAGACGTGACAAGTTATGGGTTGAAGAGATGGCTCGATAGCTATATCAAAAGAAATGTGACATGTTAATGGTTAAAGAGATAGCTCGATAGCTATACCGACAGAGATGTGACATCTTAAGGTTCGAACAGATAGCTCGACAGCTATATCGAAAGAGATGTGACAAGTTATGGGCGGAAGAGATAGCTTGATAGCTATACCGACAGAGATGTGACATCTTAAGGGTCGAAGAGATAGCTCAACAGCTATATCGAAAGAAATGTGACAAGTTATGTGTTGAAGAGATAGTTCGATAGCTATAACGAAACAGATATGACACCTTAAGGGTTCAAGAGATAGCTCGATAGCTATACCGAAAGAAATGGGACGCCTTAAGAGCCAGTGTCTATCTCGAGAGCTATACAGAAAAATGCGTGACCAGATATTGTAAATTAGGAGAGACGGGGCGGAATAGCTGATTTCATTTTACCACTTGTCAACAGAAAAGAATGAATTTGGTCAAATCTGAATCACCAAGAGGTACCATTGTTTAAATCTGTGTTAAAAAATGCCCACAGGCCATGAGAAAATCGGTCACAAGAGAAAAGAGGCGAAATTGTTTTAATTAAAAAAAAGGAAGAATATATTTTCTCAGGGGCAGAGATAGGGAAAAATGAAGGGTCAAATGGTAAATTTCAAACTTGGCCGAATTCTGAGAAACTCGATCCAGAAGCAGATAAAAGGACACTGGATTTGTACTTACTGAACAGATCATGACAGATAAAACAAACCCAGAGAAAAATGAAATACAAAACCATATCATGAAAATGAACAAAGACCAAATGCCAGCTGACTGTGCCAAGGATGTGAGTGGAATGGGAAAAGGGAGTTAATTCTTGCCGACCAGGAATCGCAACGTGTGAAACTCTAAGGAAGTGGGAGAAAGGAGAGATGGAGTTGTCTCCACCCACCAAAGGGTAGAAGTATCAGTATATATCTCTGAGGGAGTATTAGCTGAAGGAAGGCTTAGGGGAATAGTTTCAGGCAGACGGAAGAGAGAGGGAGAGAGTGGTATCTGCCAATCAGAAACGGTGGTGGGAGGCATGTCGTTCAGACAGACGGGATAAGGAGAAGCGGCCAACACCGAACGAGAGACAACTGTCCCACGTGACTTCCTACCATTGAAGAAAGCCTTTGACTTTGATCTGTGTTCCCGAGAATTTGTCTAGACTTAGTCACGACGACGAACAAGGTGTCACGATATATTTGAATAAAGGAAGGGTCGAGTGATTTTGCATGTCAAGATATGCCTGCCTGAAGAACATATAGTCCTGCATGGAGAACAAAACTTGTAACACCAGCTCTGTATAAGAAACGCCAAATAAAATATTTATTCTTACAACTTGTCTTGTGACTTTACTTTTTCCGGTCCGGACTAATTCAACGATTCCTGTCAACGATTGACCCTCGTCAGACTTATGATCTAAATCGAACACAACGTGGGATAAGGCAAGGCTTAGGTCGAAGTGATTAATACTAATAGCGAATACTGAACCGACCCCCCCTCCAGGGGCTACAACATCATAATCTAAAATTCATTAACACATTCACTGCTACCATAGAGATTTGAACACGTGCATAATATAATGCCTTTAAAACTAGTATTCGAAATTAACATATAAGATTATTTATGCTTCATTTTGGTAAATAAAATTTAAATTAACTCATACAGTGATATCTGGATATTTAAAGACCAACAAAATATCATTTCTTTATTTTGCTCCGTCCTGGGTATGACGATAAACTATGTCCAACAGCAAGGTCTCTGATCAAAAGGTTTTGAGGAGGGTGGAACCACCTCTTAATTGCTGATGTTCCCAGGTCCACCCTTACTCGGGGTGGTAGCACCTGTTAGGGTTCCAGCTATGGGCAAATAGTTAACCCTGAAACTGAGGTAAAAAGCATTATGAAATGTAGGATTTAATACCAAAAAATACTTTGTAAAAGATTATTACCAGAAATAAATTTTTGAAGGAAAAAAAAGTTATTACCAGCAATATATTTTGTGAAAAACATATTACCAGCAATACATTTTTAAAATAATATTACCAGCTATACATCTTTGAGGAATAAAATATTACCAGAAATATAATTTTGACAAAACAAAATATTACAAGGAAAAAAGTTGTCAGCATTAAATAACCTATTGAGGTTGATATGCCGTAAAACAAAAGAAACCAGACACTTTATTTTTGCTGATGTTACAATGAGAAACTTCTTTAATGATACTTACTAGAAAAAATCCTTCACGGTTTTCATATTTGAATTTTCTGACGAATCTTATTTCTTAAGTTAATAAATGAAAAAGCTCGTAGTGATTTCTACGACAATAAAATATCTGTAGAAATTCCCCTATCACATCGTTAAATATTTGAGCTTAACAACTTTAACAGAATATTCCAATAAAAATCATAAATATGAATCCTTGTTGTTATCTTAAAAGTAAGGGGGTACAAATGGAAAGATTTGAAATTGACACCTTCGTTCCATTTCACTGAAACAGATTTGAGGCACTCCTATCTTACTTTCTTTCTTGCTTTCATTTTCTCCCAGATAGCAAATAACGTCTCTGATATGTCTCTTCCGTCTTTCTATGCGATCAAAATGTAATTGTCAATTACTGATGAGATATTGGCTGGAGACGTTCAACACATCGTCCTTTTTTCCTTCCTTCCTTCCTTTCTTTTTTTCTTTTTGTCTTTTTCTCACTAATACCAAGCAGTGTCTCTAATATGTCTTTTCTGTCTTTTCACGTGATCAAAACGGAATAGTCCATTATTTATGAGATATTGGCAGAACGTAATGGTCGTGCTAACCAAGGGAGGGACAAACAGAATTATAATAACATGCATTATTTTGGTAAATAATTTGAAATTTATTAAGATATTAACCTTGTATATTTGTAAACTTATATGACGTCATCTATGTTTATGTTTTTTTATCATTAGAAATTATCATTTCTATTCCATTTTTTTAAATGAACTCACAAATGGTTATGCCATCTTACAAATATTTGCATCTGTTTTACGGAATGGATGTCAGAAGACGCACCTGTGCCTCATGTAACCAGACAATATGTTAATCTTTTATACTGTCTATTTTTTCCCTGTCAGAAAATTTTCGAAGCAGCGGACAGAATATCACGTCCAGATGCAACCATATTGAAAAAAAATTCTCCATTTGAATTTAAAAAAAAAAGGTTGTTAATATAAAGTCTTAGTAAATTCCTTACTATTTTTTTCTTAACATGAACTTTATTTTTGATGTTGATTTCTGTTTTTAACTCCTGTAAAATCGTATAAATTGAATTGCTAAAATGCCTAAATAACAAAACCATTCTTTCATTAGAAACGGATGCTGGTGAGAGCTTGTTTTTCCTGAAGTCTTGATTCTCCTCAAAGTTTTCAAGATGAGGAATTATTATTCTATTCAGTCCAGCATTCGTACCTTAGGTATTATTCTTACAACGTTTCGGCCGTTGTACTCTTGGGCATTCTTCAGTTGTCTGTCGTATGTGATAACCTTCAAGAACCAAGAGATATGTGACCAAGTGGATTAAAATATTAAGTGTGTTTGGCTTCCGGGCAATAATGAGTTCAATCTCTTAACCGGGTAGAGCGATAAATGAAAGTACACTAGTTTGATGAAAAAAACGTACAAGCCATATAAAAACGAGATGCGTGAGAAGAAACTGATTCGAGAAGAGTTTGTTTAGCGGCACATCAACTTCTCATGGGTCATTTAATGCCAAAATTTATTTATTTTTTTTTAGCATTAGTAATTTCATTTACAAAAACGTATTGCTAGTAATTTTTTTCTTCAAAAATTTATTACTGGAAATTTTTTTTTTCCAAAATTTATTGCTGGTATTTTTACTATAAATATATATTTTTATACTTTTTTAGTGTTTTGATACCAGTTTGTGGGCTATTTTCCAATAGTTGAGACCTTAACAAATTCTATCACCCAGGGTTAGGGTGGACCTGGGAACAACAGCAATTAAGAGATGTTTCCAAGCTCTCGTTCAAAGACCTTACTATCGCATGTAGAATTCGAGATATTCGCAAAGAATACCAGCAGAATGAGCGCCATTAATCTTCATGGCTCAAACAAACGGTTTTGATAAAATATCCCGGAAGATCAGAAATTACGACAGATACCTGAAGAAGACGTTTGAAACGTTGTGAGTATAACAATCAAAATACTGATTTCCAACAGAAAGGTTTTTTTAATAAGCCTTCATTCTATCTTCCAACAAGATGTAAATCATTTATGTTTTTTTTTTCTTTTTTCTTATTTGTCCTTTTTTTTTCGTAATGATCGGTAAATTTCTTCCTCATCTCTGCAATTTAATTCACCATTAGACAACCAATGTTGATGATGTCTCGTCTTCCCGCTGCGGTATAAAATGGTGAAGAAACGTTCAGTTTATTATCCTATACAAGGAAATTTTATTTATAATAGCATAACAAAAGCTAACCTATTTTTCTTTCTTTATTTTTGCTCCAATTTTTTTTTTTTTTTTTGAATTTTCTCTTCCTTCATACAGCGAAAACATCTTATTGAAGGCTGGCCACATTGGTCCGAAAATCTCTCAAAGTTTTTATTCCTCTTATCTTTTGTAGCTGTCTCGTTATCAGGTTGGTCAAAACTCTCTCAGTCCGTCACTGTTGTTGTCATTTTTCTTGCACTGTGATTAAAACGACTTGTCCGGCTTCTTCCTCTTTTTTCAAACATTTTTTTATAATCCAATTATCACTTCTCCTTTTCTTTTTTTTTTTATTTTCCTTTTTATTTTTGCATGATTCATCAGACAATTCTTTTCTGCAATTTCAATTTTTTTTTTCTCCTTAAGCTCAGACAAAGCTCCTACGCGCGCGCGCGCAGACACACGCACATACGCCTTTATAAATGTTCAAAAAATCTCTCCATATGCACCTTCATCTGCATCAATATATATGTATATATAATATATTCAAGTTTTCTTAAATTTAACGGACAAGTTCTCACTGTATCATTGTTTTTTTGTTTTTTTTTCCAATTTTCGAATATGAAGTCTGGATCAAAATTGTGGATAAATTGTTCGAAATTCATGACACGCTCGGTAGTTGCTCAAACGCTTCCAACTGTCGCGGTCATTATCAAGAACTGGTGCTGTTAGAATGGCAGACAAAATAACACGTTTTGTAGAAACTAATTAAAATTCTAAAATCATTATTAGTCAAAATTAACAAGAATATTAAATAAAACAAGACCTGAAATTATATATATATATATATATATATATATATATATATATATATATATATATATATATATATGTCATATATGTGCAAAATAATAATAATATTAATAACAACAACTATCAGAGGGTTAGTTAAACTACTACTCTCTTACAAAACTACAACAATTGACCTTCAAAGATACCTTGAAACTGCAAAAGACTGGATGATGATCTGTGTCAAAGAACATGAAAATAGTAAGCGGCTTTATTCAATAATAAAGGAAATCAAAAATTTCAAAATGGATATTCAGGTTGGTTCCAAATAAAGTATAATATACTGACTGATGCTGAAAAATACATAAAAATGAAAGCAAAGGCAAATGCAACCGACCAGGAGACAGAAATGATAACAAGACAATCAAACAAGCTGATCTAGACAAATCCTGTACCCCTCAGTGGCTACGTAGTGTAGGGTTAAAAGCTGAAACTGAAGGCTTTATTATTTCTGCACAGGACCAATGAAATTCGAAATTACGAAGCACACATACTGAAAAATTGTATTTGTCCAAAATGCAGGTTTTGTGATAAATATCCAGAAATAATTGACCATTTTGTATCACGCTGCGAGGTATTGGCACCAATTGAATATAAAACACAAGACAGAATGGAACAATACCTGTACTGGAAAATCTGCAACACTTAAAGACAGGAAACTACAAGAAATTGATATGAATACCACCAAACCCGGTTACGGAGATAGGATCTGTAACAATTTTATGGGACTTTACAATACACACAGACAGAAGAATCACAGCTAATCGTCCTGACATCGTGATTAGAGACATGTTCTTCCTTACTGACATGGTAGACTGCAGACTGCAATGAATCTTTGTATATATTCAGAAAAAAACTATTAAAATACAAGGACCTTGAAATCGAAATCTCAAAAGTGTGGCTCATGAGGACATTAAGAATTCCAGTCGTAGTTGTAGTTAGACTGGTTGGAAAAGATTC